GTGAGTGTGTGAGTGTGTGAGTGTGTGAGTGTGTGAGTGTGTGAGTGTGTGAGTGTGTGAGTGTGTGAGTGTGTGAGTGTGTGAGTGTGTGAGTGTGTGAGTGTGTGAGTGTGTGAGTGTGTGAGTGTGTGAGTGTGTGAGTGTGTGAGTGTGTGAGTGTGTGAGTGTGTGAGTGTGTGAGTGTGTGAGTGTGTGAGTGTGTGAGTGTGTGAGTGTGTGAGTGTGTGAGTGTGTGAGTGTGTGAGTGTGTGAGTGTGTGAGTGTGTGTGTGAGTGTGTGTGTGTACACAGTTACGTGTCACACACCGTGGACCTCTGAAAAACAGCAGCTGATAACACAGGTCTTGTGTTTGAGTGTTGGGCAGCGTGTAATGATGTTGGGTGTAGACTGCAGTTTGCTTTCCGGAGAGTATGAGCCTGAGATGGTTGTTACTAGCTCAGACCAGCTCAATACTGCTTTTTTTAGTTTTTTTTACTAGCCTTGAGTTGTTCACGTCCTTAAAGAAAACTCTCTTCTTCTCTCTTTGTTTCAGCTGCAACACCTCTAAAGAGCTAAAGTTGGAGACCGAAGGTAAGACTCTTTATCATGTAGCTCTGGCCAAGATATTCTGCTGTTTCACTGGAATATTTATGATTGTTTTTATTGTTTTATATGTTTTCAACAAAATCCTCTTTTCTTTTGTTTTCTTCTTTTTTTTTTTTTTTTTAGAAGAGTTTATCGAAACAAAATGTATCACATTTTTCAAAACGGAGCAGACTAGAAATTTGAGCATTCTGGGAAATTACGAATCCTTGTAACATGGTCCATTTATTTTAAAGAAAGTGAAAGTAACGAGTGGCCAAGTATGGTGACCCATACTCAAAATTTGTGCTCTGCATTTAACCCATGCAAGTGCACACACACACACACTGGGTTCGGTTCTTGCTCAAGGGTCTCACCTCCGTCATGGTATTGAGGGTGGAAGAGAGCGCTGGACATTCACTCCTCCCACCTACAATCCCTGCCGGACCTGAGAGTCGAACCCGCAACCTTCGGGTTACAACTAAGTCCGACTCTAACCATTAGGCCACGACTGCCCTATTGGTTAGAGACTGCCCCACGACTGCTCTAATATTTATTATATATATATATATAACATTTTTATACATAAATGTATATTAGTTTTATGTGACAATTATTTTTAGGTTTGATAATTCAAAGATTCTGAAAATGCTCCATATTATGTGTGTATGGTTATAGGGAATCCATACTGAAAAATTAAACAAGTAAATAAATACAAAATAAAAATCCTTCAAATTCTTTCTTTCTATTTATTTCTTTAAATTTTACAAATATGTAATTAAATCATTTAAAATGTAAAATATGTATATATATTTTCTAATGTGTATTTATAAACATATACATGTATTATACAGTAGGCTATAATTCAAATTTCTATAGGTTTGATATTTTAAAGACTCTGGAAATGCCCCATATGTTGCGTGTAGGGTTATTCATACTGAAATTAAAAACTAAACATAAATAAATAACTTAAAAAAAAAAAAGTATTTATGTATTTATTTATTTGTTTTGTTTATGTATATAATTTTACAAATATGTAATTAAATCATTTAAAATATAAAATATTTATAAATATTTTATAACGTGTATTTATAAACACATATATGTATATACAGTATAATACAAATTTCTATAGGTTTGATATGTTGTGTGTACGGTTATGGGTAAGTCTTACTGAAAATTAAAATAATTCCTTACTGTATTATTCCAGTTTAATTCAGCTTAAATTTACAATTTTGCATCCTGCTGCCTCACTTGAAATTCTGGAATTGGATCGGTGATTAAAATCCATTTTCAATTGAATTCTGAATGGCACACAACCCCGTCTGTGACAAGTGTTTTCAAGCAGCATGCTCTGCGGCAATCTCCATTTTAATAAAGCGTCATTATCTTTATTCTGTGAAGGGCGTTCAGAAGATCCCGAAGTCTTGACATTCTGCTACGAATAATATCCACTAGTCAATGGTTGCCATGACGAATTCATTTCAGTGTCAAGTCATTAAAGTGGCCTGGTGGACTCTCCTCTGCCCTACCATGCTAAGCCTGATTACTGCTAATCACCAGCCCTTTGAATCATTAAAAGGCCAGACACAGGTGCAAACGTATAGGGACGAGGTTGCAGGACAAAATTTATTTGAAACAGAGGGGGAGTTCGAGAGAAGAAGAAGAAAAAAACCCCTGCCTGTTACTAAGACAAGGAAATTAAATGGCATAGTTTGCTTTCCCAGACACGTAGGAGGCAGACTGACAAGTCACACTATTTTTAACTGCCACTCACATGTCTTAATTACAAAGTAAAGAATAAGTGATTCCATCTCTCGTGTGAGAAATTGGCCAGTGCGCTGTCTAGGGATGTTAGATTATGTTCTGACAAAACACAAACATCGTTTAGATCACAGCAAATGGAGTAGACGTGTCCATCATATCTAAAGTAACCAGGCTTGCTGAGATTAGGAATATTGCATTAATATTATCGTCATGGCCAGATGGTGGGTTTCTAAACTCAACACAACAACAATCTTACTTTGCTTGCTTTGTTCACTGTGCTGAGGAGGAAGACTGACCCAGTGTGAGACCGAAGGTAAGACTCTTTATCATGTAGCTCTGGCCAAGATATTCTGCTGTTTCACTGGAATATTTATGATTGTTTTTATTGTTTTATATGTTTTCAACAAAATCCTCTTTTCTTTTGTTTTCTTCTTTTTTTTTTTTTTTTTAGAAGAGTTTATCGAAACAAAATGTTTCAATTTTTTCAAAACGGAGCAGACTAGAAATTTGAGCATTCTGGGAAATTACGAATCCTTGTAACATGGTCCATTTATTTTAAAGAAAGTGAAAGTAACGAGTGGCCAAGTATGGTGACCCATACTCAAAATTTGTGCTCTGCATTTAACCCATGCAAGTGCACACACACACACACTGGGTTCGGTTCTTGCTCAAGGGTCTCACCTCCGTCATGGTATTGAGGGTGGAAGAGAGCGCTGGACATTCACTCCTCCCACCTACAATCCCTGCCGGACCTGAGAGTCGAACCCGCAACCTTCGGGTTACAACTAAGTCCGACTCTAACCATTAGGCCACGACTGCCCTATTGGTTAGAGACTGCCCCACGACTGCTCTAATATTTATTATATATATATATATATACAATTTTTATACATAAATGTATATTAGTTTTATGTGACAATTTTTTTTAGGTTTGATAATTCAAAGATTCTGAAAATGCTCCATATTATGTGTGTATGGTTATAGGAAATTCATACTGAAAAATTAAACAAGTAAATAAATACAAAATAAAAATCCTTCAAATTCTTTCTTTCTATTTATTTCTTTAAATTTTACAAATATGTAATTAAATCATTTAAAATGTAAAATATGTATATATATTTTCTAATGTGTATTTATAAACATATACATGTATTATACAGTAGGCTATAATTCAAATTTCTATAGGTTTGATATTTTAAAGACTCTGGAAATGCCCCATATGTTGCGTGTAGGGTTATTCATACTGAAATTAAAAACTAAACATAAATAAATAACTTAAAAAAAAAAAGTATTTATGTATTTATTTATTTGTTTTGTTTATGTATATAATTTTACAAATATGTAATTAAATCATTTAAAATATAAAATATTTATAAATATTTTATAACGTGTATTTATAAACACATATATGTATATACAGTATAATACAAATTTCTATAGGTTTGATATGTTGTGTGTACGGTTATGGGTAAGTCTTACTGAAAATTAAAATAATTCCTTACTGTATTATTCCAGTTTAATTCAGCTTAAATTTACAATTTTGCATCCTGCTGCCTCACTTGAAATTCTGGAATTGGATCGGTGATTAAAATCCATTTTCAATTGAATTCTGAATGGCACACAACCCCGTCTGTGACAAGTGTTTTCAA